TATATATATATATATATATATATATATATATATTTCATGCAGATTTATAAGTTGCTCAGTGAAAGTAGCAGAAAGTAAGTTCAGCTTATTTATACAACAGTAACTTGTCTTAAAAGGTAATCAGTGTCAGATATATATCCTACAAGAGGGAAAAAGGCAAATATGTACCCTGAAGAGGGACCGTTTTGCAGCCACACTCATCTTGGCTCTCTCGTCCACTTTTTCTTCATCTCCTGAAAATATAAACATTAAGTTCCAAAACATTTCTTTTCAAATAAAGGACATAAAGTTTTAGTTTAGCCCTGTTTAGTCTTTGGCTACGTTCACACTGCAGGCCTTGGTGCTCAATTCCGATTTTTGTGTGAAATCTGATTTTTTTGCTTTGCTGTTCACTTTTCCGAATATATATGCGACTTGTATGTGATCTCCTGTGAAAACTGCATTCATACAACTTAAGTGTCCCGCATGCGCAGTAGAGGACGCAATGACGTCACAAGCCAGCGTGCTTCGTGTTTATGGAAGTAGACATAGATGTAGTGCTGGAGCGCATCTAGCTATCTTTCCCAAGCTTAAAACCTAATCTTTTCAAGATGGTTAAAAAACAAACAGCTCTCCGCATCATCCACCAGGATGTTTGTTTTTTTTGCCACTTCTTTGTAGCAAGAAGCAGAATAGCGACCTATGTCGGTTACTAATGGCGTTCAGGTCGGACAAATACGACCTCGCCGTTCAGACACAGGTAGCATTTGAAAAGATCAGATTCGTATCTGATTCAGGACCACATAGCCAAGTGGCTTGGGTTGAATTGGGAAAAAAATCAGATCTCTGTTTTTAAGACTGTCATGAAAAGATCAGATCCAGGTCGCATATGGGCAAAATAATCGGAGTTGGGTCACTTCAGGCTGCAGTGTGAACGTACAGTAGCCTTTGTTGCGCCTCTCCTTTCCCCTTTAGCTGCTTGTATCCACCCCTCTTCAGTCTGGATTCATGCTTCTGTTTCCATCACTTCATCATCAAACCTATAAGAAACCAACTTTGCTTCTGTATCTGCATTTGGCTCCTCTACAAACATCATCTAAACCAGCATAGCAGCATTTTGCTGCAAATAATTATAAAGGGAAGTAAAACATAAGATGTTTAAGGAACAATTTTTCTGTTGCATGATAAAAAAAAAAAACCCTAGTAAAACAATCAGGGCTAAAATCAAAGAAAAAGAACTATGAATAAGGTTTTTCTGCAGCAATCCAGAACTGTGCTAAATACACTGCCCTGTGTGTTTAAAATGACAGGGAAAAAACCTACTGTTTTGATGCAGTGTTTAATGCCAATGTAAATGTAAATATTGACAAAGAAAAAAATATTTCACAATAAAATTTAGATTTTTTTGTTATATTTTTGCTAAATTCTTCCAACATGGATATCTACCCTTAATAATAAATAATTTAATTGAAAGACTTCCTAACATAACTATAAATCAGAAACCCCATCTGTTACGCTAAAGTTAAATATACTTTTATGTGCCAATATAGCATGAGCTTGAAATGCCTTTTTGCAATCAACACAATCCCTTCCAGTTGTTGTTATTACAGGCAATTACTCCTTTAAATCAGGGCTCTACTGATTCTTTATCTATAAACCCAACATGATATCAGAAATTCCAGAGGTTAGATGTTTCAAAACACTCATGTGTTCACTGTATTTCACTAAATAATAACTAATTACATAATATAATTTAGATCTCAGATCTTCAAAAGATTTCTCTGTTATAAGACTGTAGTTACCTTCAGCCTCTTGTAGTTGCGATGGGCTTAGACGTGATCTGGGGGAACAGAATGAAACGTTAACATCACAGACAATTTTTCTTTGGCTAAGGGAACTGAATCCCTATGGTATGGGACTATGGACAATAATAAATAGCCTTATCTACCTACCTGTCGGATTCCAAACGCTCTGCTGAAGTGATAGGCTGAGTCCTGAACCTTTCCGACGTACGACTTTCTCCTGGAGTAATATAACGGCGAGGCCTTCGAGTCCCCCTGTCCCCATAGATGTTGCTGCTACCTTGCTCCACATCCTTGGCTGTGATGTCTGCTTTACTTGTTTCTCTTTGGTGGATGGGTTTAAAATGTATGACCGAAGCATATAAAGAAAGAGAAACCAGAAAAAAGAAAATGTTCTTGTTCATTTTACTCAAACCAGGGGAGAAAAGGCATTATGTGTAAATATTATAACAATCAATAACTGTAACCATTCAGGAATCATGTAGTAGTTCTGGCATGCCTGGGTTTTCATAGAGATCTTACATTATATTCAAAACATGCATTAAAAGGTAGCTCTCAATGTTGGTAAGTGGTTTAAGATTAACCACCTGCCAAAGTCTGCTGGAGATTTTACCACAGGATCTCACACTGAATTGTGCCGGTACAGAACATTGATAGTTGAGCATAACTGAACACTAGTAGTCTTTATTTTATGGTAATGTGCATTGTGTTGGGTCCAAGTGGGATACTGGTTAGCACTGTTATCTCTGCAAGAGAGTCCAAATCTTAGCTGGGGCCATTCCATGCAGACTGTATATGTTTTTTTTATCTATTTATTTTGGGAGCATTTTCTCACCCAGTATTTTAGTTTCCTTAAAAAAAAATGTTGATGTGAGTGCATACTTAGTTAATTCAGTCATTTGTCTCTTAGCCTGCCTTTGACCTATTGAGCTAGACACCAAACCTACCTATGATACTGAACAAGAATATTAAGAAATTGAAAATGATAGATGAAGCATGCATGAAGCAGTTAATTACATTCCATCTTAACTCCAAACAAACACAACAGACATGTTACATGCAGCTTTGTTGTTATAGGTATCAGTTAAACCTCAGTCATTCAGTTTTTGATAAATTAGACCAATGATGCTCTGAGAAAACGTAATTTAAAAAAGAGTTCATGCCAGCAAACCTACAGCTCTGGCTTCCGGTTGGCATTCTCCAGATAAGAATGTCGCAGCTGTGCTACTGACACCCTTGTGTCCAGGGTGCTTACTTCCCCGTTAGCCATCCCAGGTGGAGGGACAATTCTGACGGCCTCTCTCCTGTCCCCTCCTCTCTCAGTATGATACAATTTGGAGTGTTGGCTTACACCTATATCGGACATGGAGCGGGTTCGTATCTTGGGTTTGGGCCCTCCACTTATTTCCATGCTTCTTTGTTTAGCCTGAGGCAAAGAAGGGTCCCTTTGGAGGTAGGCAGCAGAGTCAAACCTCTCACGCTGTGTTAGCCCGTGGTGAGCCACCATCTCTTTCTTATTTTCGGGATATTTTTGTTGAGTTTGAAAGTCGTCCTGTTTCCTTGGGGTCTCCTTTGTTTGCAGCTCATATTGTCCTTGAAACTGTCCCTGGTTCTCCTGGGATTGCCTGAACAGATTTTGCTGATGCTGTCTTTGAAGGTCTTGCTGAATTTGAGCTCTATGTTCAACCTTTCTGACTTCATACTGGTTCTGCTCTGAGGGCTTATACCGATTCCTTTGGGACTCTTGATGGTGCATGGACTCCACTGTGTTATCCTGCCTTGCCTGATAACGTGCAGAGTTGTAGGCGGGTTGCAAAGATCGGGAAACTCCCTCCTCTTGGCTGTCATGACTGGCAATATTTTCTTTTACCCTTTCTCTGATTCTCTGAGCTTTTCTTTCCCTACCCCTCTCCCTTGGCCGTTCATAATCCCAGTCTTCCTCCACATGACTTCTCCTCCTCCACTCCGGGCTGGTGTTTTGCCAGTCAGTGTCAACATGCCGGCCCCTGTGAGTTTCATCTACGCTCCTTTCCCTTCGGCGAATTTCAGAGGGTAACACTGCCTTCCTGCTCTTTAGCAGGCCCTCTGTCTGTGCTTCTTCTTTTAGGATCTGTCTTGCTTCCATTCTTGCCTCCCTATGTGCAGCATACATTTGGTCAGTGCTCACCCTTCTTCTGGGTTGAACTTCTGGAACTCCTGATGACGTCACTGTTTGCATGGGAACGTTCATAGCCACACTTTGCTGAGAGTCCACAGCAGGGCCAGGTGGCTGATATTCAGTTGTTGTTGTGAAAGGAGCGGGATGGTGGCCCAGGGTGGGCTGGGGTTGTGGAGCAGTCCTATGTTGGGTGTGTTCTGAATGCTGTGTTGTATACGTAGCAGTGCTCCCATGGCTATGATGTCTGTTTTGGTGATGCATATCTAGACTTTGATCAGGGGGCTTCCGTGGAGTGTCTTCCCTTGAATACCGTTCCCTTACTCGGATTCTTGGAGAAGGAAGGCATACCAAACATTAAGTTTTTAGTTCAGCAAATGAATGAAATTCTCTTCTGGACCCACAACATAAAATTTACAAAATCTTATTTCAATTTAATTGAAATTATATCTATGAAACACAAACATTGGTAATATATAACACCAGACATGGAAGAGGTTACAATTATACCAAAAAATTAAGGTTACATTGCCATTTATACTGAACCTGTACAAACTAACTAGACCTTTCCTACTTCTGAGGTTTAATCAGGCATTGCGAGTCAGGTGTTGCAAATCAAACAAACTGGATAAATGGATCATTAGTTTCACTTTCACCTGTACAATAAAATTAGGTTTGGAGCAAATTAATTTTTAGTTATGGGCCATTTCAACATTAGAAATCATTATATGGTATGAAAGTGTTTTTCTCAGGTGGAAATAAAATAACTGCCAATCTTCCCCTGAGGTCTGGCCAGCAAAGTAGTGGGAGAAACTGAATCTCAAATGCTAGAAGCCCCATTACTATTTTGAAATTTAAATGTGTATAACTTAGGCATCAGGAAGAAAATCTGAAAAAAAAAAAACTGATTATGTATTGCTTGTTAGGAATAAGCACCAAAAAGGGTATTCCCTTATCTAAATGACTGACATATTAATTTGTCCATATAATAACAAACTATAGTTTTCCAAGTAGCATAATCACACAAACACCTCAAACTAGGAAATAAATCATTTAGTATTCTAGAATCAAATGTGAGATTATTTATCCATTAGTTTTAAAGCTTGGCCTTAAATGAATCAGGGTACAGTAATCTAAATAGTTACCCAGTATAATCTACAAAAGAATGTCTCAAAATATGAAAAAACAAAGCGTTAAACTTGCACAATTAAAGACAGAATTTTCTCCAAAATGATTTAAGACTGATTAATTTGGAACCTTAAATATCTCATGCTTATTAATTCTACTAAATGCAGCTGTACTCATTACCGCATCTTATTGGGAACTTATTACTATTCCAGCAATTGTATGAACCATCAGTACTGCATGTTTTCATATTAAATCTTTTGTGTGGAGATAAACATACTGTATAAATAATGCATATTCTATATGCCTGCTAGTTGAAAGAATAAGCAAATCTGCTAGAAAAGACATTTTAGTGTTGTTTAACCATAATTTAAATCCCAGCAAATCGTGCAAACCTTAAGGAAACTTGTCGAGGAAAAGTCTAGAACATAAGACTATCATGAGACCCACATCAGCTCCTAAATCCTTCTCTAGTGCTGCAAGATCAAGTAACAGCATGCCATGGGGGCTAAGTCTGAGTCCAGCTCTCCCTCCCTGATGTCATTATGCCAAATAGTAAGTCCAGCTATTTTCATCTCTAACCCAATGACCCCTTGTAGTCAAAGGTTACTCTAATCTCATTGTGGACCTCTAAGCAGGACATAAGTGACGGGAATCGGCTTTATCTAAAATGGCATGAAGTGCTTATACAATGATTGTGCTTCTTGAGTACTCAGTGGATGAAACTGCAAGTGTTGCTCACAATAAATATTTATAGCTATCTAAAGAGTCGCAAATCACTGATCAGAGTAACAAAGCACTTCCAAACATTTTACAGTTTACATCAGAGGGAAATGTTCATTCGACATAGATAAGAGCTTTTTGACAAAGTCTTACATAGAATGGTTTAACATGTTTGATCCACTTGGACCTGAAGCTACTTGGACTGTTCTTAAAGAAAGTAAAAACAGCCAAAGTGGTTTTATTCTATTTTGAATAATCAGCTGATCAACTACATTACAGTAATTTCAACTTCTTCTTTTAATGAGAGAATTAGGGTCCATCGTGGCCAGTCAAAAGCTTTCCGTTTAAGTTATTCGTTTTTTTATTCCCTGTTGCTAAATTATATTATATTTCCATGGTTTACAGTTTGCTGAAGTTTTGTTTGTTAGTAAGCAAAATGCTTTTGTCTCTATTCCAAAAAAAAAAAAAAAAACACAAAAAAACAACAACTGGACTTTCTTTTCCAATTTAAAGACGTTTCGCTTCCAATCAAGGAAGCTTTTTCAATTCAATTAAATTGTCAAATCAGCAAAGAATTCCAAAAGACAAAGCAGAACATAATGGTGAGAAGATTAAATGCAAAACCATCACCATCCCATTGTTGCTGAACTGTTTGAAAAACTCACAAGAATTTCTCCAAACACAAAAATCCCAGTGCATTTCAAACCAAACAAGACCCTTAGGCAGAAAGTAGTGCATCCTAAAGACAAAACCCCCAGACCTAAGATGCGTGGAATGGTGTATGCAGTTTAATGCAGTGATGAATGCTCTGATCTTTATATTGGACAAACCAAACAACCTCTTTACAGATGCATGGCACAACACAAGAGACTGACCTCCTCCAGACAAGACTTGGCTGTACGTCTACACCTTATGGACTAAGGACATTCTCTTGAGGACCAGAATGTTCACATTTTGGACAAAGACAGATGATTTGAAAGAGGTGTGAAGGAAACCATTTATGTTGAGACCAAGACCTTTCGCCTGGTCAGCCAGGCCAACAATGCCCCTAATCCCTACCACTTTCAAGACACATAGACCAGTATCGGGTATCGCAGGCTAACAAAAACCTCAACGACTCCCCATTACTAAGGGGTGGACCCTTTCTTCCGGTTCAATTTTCATGTTTCCAAATCCATTACAAGGCTTTGTTGGGCTGCTCTATAAAGGTTGGAACTCAACACAAATTCTGACATTTTGAATCGAAAAAGCTTCCTGGATGGGAAGCGAAAAATCTTCCAAAGTCCAGTGTTTTTTTTGTTTTTTTTTTTACTTTTTTGGAATGAGTTTAACCTGGATGACTGAGAATCTTTGCCAGCATTTTGTGTATATTAACTTAACAAGACCATGTGAATTGAGGTGCAATACTGCTCATTGTAAACATGATTCAATGTAAATGTGTGAGTTAGCAATGCCCAGCAAAGGCGTGAAAACTGATAAAACAAGAGTAGTTTCTATAATTTGAAGACTTTTGAGATTTTGTTTATTAAATTGCAACTATGAATAGAGTTGTTTTTATGTGTCAATAGGGTTGTTATTATATGTATGGATTGTCACAGCAAAGATTTTATTTTGTTGCTCCCAGAGCTATGCCTGCAGAGATGCTCCTCCTCTGTCCTGCTCCATTCTCTCAAACATTTTATTGTCTTTTTTTTATCCTGACCTTTGTTAAAAACTAGACCATCTTAAACAAGCAGGCGATCATAGTGAAATGCCAACAGGTGAGTGTAAATTACAACCAATCACAGCTCTCAGAGCCCAGCATCACACCTACCAATAGAATCAATCACACCTTCTCACTAAGAGGAGTTTCTGTCAAGTCTTTGCTTAAACATCTTAAGCTAAAACCCCTTAAAATGCATGTTTAGGCTAAGATAGAAGTTACCTAAAAAGTTGTCTTTGTAGAGAAGGGCCCTGCTTCTAAAACAGCTGTGAAGCTGAAAAAGTTGGGTATTACTGTGTTAACATCTCTAGATTTCTTTTAGAGACAAATACTAGCAAGGTATTTCAGACAAGTATTTAAAAACAATTTGTAAACCTAAAGTATGATCTCAAAACTTAGCAAAAAAGCCATTACAAAAATGATCAATCATTAGTACAATATTTTGTGATTATTGTAAAATCTGAATGGTATCTCTGGCTGAATGTGTTTTGTAAGCTGTCAACATCCAAATGGCCAAAATGTATCTTATTTGATAATACTGTCTGCAGGAAATGAGTGATTTCCCAGTGAAACAGTAGAACAAGAAAATGTGCCACCACAAAGGGCTGTATTGGTTAACAATAAATATTTCCTATTTACATTTGCTCTATTGTTATGAGAGCTTGTAGAGCCTCCAGAGGAACAATGTTTTCCAACTCTCCAAAAAAGTTTACCGTTTTTTCAAGGTAATTTGCATTACAAGCTAAAAATCGACTGATGAACTATACATTGAAAGTCATTGTGCATAAAATATCTAACTAGTTTAAAACTAATTTGGTAAAAAAAAAAATAGGTCTACAAAGTTTGATGTAAAAAATACTTGAAGAAGTAAATACTTTATAATAATAAACAAAGCTTTTGATATTAAAATGCTGTTGAAATAATTTTTAAAAGAATAAAAGATCAAATGTTTATACTCACCCCTGTCTATTGAGGATGCTTTGAGCCTGCTGCTCTATAAATAAATCTCCAGGTGAAACGCCATAACGTGTGGAGGGCAAAGATGCACGGCGGGCTGTGCGGGGAGAGCTTGGCACCGCTACGATTGCATTGTTTCTGGTGGAGGCGGGGCTTTGATCTCTGTGGTGGACGTGCTGCCTCTGTGGTGGCTGAGGCTCATGCTGTTCCGGCATCCGGCCTCTAGAGGTGATTGAGCGCTCCTGAGCTCCCCCTCTGCGATAATTCTCTACATTCATTGCTCTCTCCTGCTCTGAAGATTTGCCAGGCCTTTCTTGAGTTGGGGGTGGAGCTCGATTTGTGTGGGCGGACCTTGGTGGGTCAGCAGGAACAGGATCTGGCTGTGTTGCCATGTAAACCCTGCCCACTCCAGAGCGGTAAGGTACTTTCGGTTCTTGTCCATGAGCCTCCACTTCTGTTCTCTCTCGGTCTCTCCTGGCGCTGACCTGTCGCTCAGAGGTATCGGATTCACGCCGGGAGCGGTAGCGTGGGGTGTACTCATTGTCCGCTTCTTGATCAAGGAGGATGCCATAGCGTTCTGAAAGCTGCCTACGGCGCTCAGCTTTGTAGCGGGCAATGCGTTCAGCCTTGGAACTGAGGTTGGATGATGGACCTGATGTCGGTGTGGAGGAGGTGGATAATGTAACTGGATCAACGTAAACCACGACCGGATCTGTGCGTCCGCTGCCACCTTTCGCCTGGGTGGTTCTGTCTGGAGATGTCACCTTCTTCCGTGGCAGCTCGACCTCTTCTCGACTGTAGCGCCTCACTGGCATAAACAGTGGAAATACTTAATTCCTTGCACCTCTTTAACAAGCAAAGATTGGCAATTTCAAGTCTTGTTTCTCTAATAGTTTCTGGCTTATTTAGCTGACCAACAGATACATTTTTATATAATTAGGTATACAGCAAAGTTTATTGCTGACATAAAACAGAAATAGGTTGAATTCATTATTTAATTAGCAAAGCATGATGTCAAGCTTACCCATCCCACGAGGCTCACAGGGGTCTGAAGCACGGGTGTACCGTGGTGGATCTTCCTCCAACATTCTGTTGGCTACAAAACCACCTGGCACCAAAGCAGGTGGTGCTTCACTTTCAATCCCTTCTAGTCGCCTGGCTATTCTCTCTTTCCTATCAGAGACAAATGTCGGCCAAAGAAATTAATTAAAAGATGAACACTCTGTGGTGATCAGACACTGGACACATCCATCCATCCATCCATCCATCCATCCATCCATCCATCCATCCATCCATCCATCCATCCATCCATCCACCCATCCATCCATCCATCCATCCTTAATTTCCAAGCCAATATCTGTCCAAGCAAATT